AATTGTGGAATTGTGAAATTTCTGGTATGACTACTATAAATGTTAACCCTTCTGCAGTGTTTGGAATTTACCCCTTCCTATATTGGTTTGGGTAATTTTGACCCAATAATAGAAATTAGTAAAATTAAAAAAAAAAAACGATATTTCAATATGAATTCAGTTAATAATTTATTTATCACATGCAGGCACTTTATCGGCAAGTGCTGTATTCTGACCGGTTCAAAGATGCCCTTAAATACTAAGTAATAATTTGGATCAAAATGACCCAGAGGCACTATGGGTGTATGAAAAAACTATGTTTCCTTCTAGAAAACAAAATAAAATAAAAAACCTTTTTATTTTTTGAAAAACCATCGCTGATTATGCCTTTAACGAATTGCCCAACGCTGTAATTAAAGAATTTGTTCATGAAAATTGGGTAATTTTGACCGAAATATTGCAGAAGGGTTAAGTAGGACTAATTGGCGCATATTCATAGAGATTGTAGAAATTAAGTAATTTTAAGGATGGGATTCAAATTTATTTACTTTCCATATCAAACAGTACCGTGAATATGTGTCAATTACATATTTTATAGCAAATAAAGCAATTTTTGCACAAATTTATTGTTAAAATTTATTATTAAAACTCTTTACAATAATAATAGTTGATTCATTCTATTTAATAATATTAATTGCTATAATTGATGGCCGTTTTTATAGATTTTTCAAGTGAAAGAAAGATTGAAATAAAGAAACGATTAGAATCGAATAATTCGAATCTCGCCGTCGATTATCCGATTCCCTGCAAAAAATGGCTGACCATATCGAAAAGAAACTATCGATTGTACACTGACAAAATGTACTGCAATCGATAAGAGAAAGAGACAAGACAATGAAAAACGTGCGTTTTCGTACTGCTTAGCCTTTCGCGCATGCGTATACATACATACAAAAAAAAATTTAAATTTTTAGCTGTGCTGCAATATATTGAAAAAGTGGGTGCATTTAAAAGAAATGACTAATAAAATCAGCGTATTTAATTTGCAATCTAAAAAAATTAACAAAAAAACGTTTTCTAACTCTATGTGGATAGAGAAGAAAAAGTTTGAGGCCAGTGCGGCGAAATACAAAAAACTTTCCGAATTCGCTAAGGCCGACTGTGGAGGTAGTGACTCCATTGGTGAAACCCAATGCAACGCCAACCTGGGAATCCAGAAAAACCTAGAAATGGAAGCAGAAGGACCAAACGCCGCTGAGGAGTTTGTCTTTAGCGACGGAAATTCAGAGTCCAATGAAGAATATTCTGAGCTCAGTAGCTCTGAAAAAGCTTGTGAAATTAAATCATGGGCAATTAGAAACAATGTATCGCAAGTGGTTTTAAATGATTTATTGAAGACGCAAAATAAGACTTGCCCCTGTCATCAAAAACCATCCTTGAAACAACAAAAGAAAGTATAAATGTGCAAGATATTCCTGGAGGAGAGTTTTTGTACATTGGAATTCAGTCCCATTTCCACTCAAAAACATTCCACTTTCTAAAAGATATTGATGAAGTTTGCATCGATGTAGGTATTGATGGCTTAAAACTTTTCAAAAACTCTAATAGAGTTTTGTGGCCGATTCTCGGCGCAATAGTCGGATTTCCGAAAGAAAGCCCATTTACCATTGCCTGTTTCGCTGGAAAACAAAAACCATCTAATATAAATTGTTTTATGCAGGAATTTTGTGAAGAAGTTGTTCTTTTAAGAGGAAATGGTTTGCAAATGGGATCACTGAATCCAGCTCTAAAAAAATTTAATATTCGGTTGTTTACTTGTGATTCACTAGCACGTGCTTTTGTTTGCGGTGTTCAAAGTCATACTGGAAAAAATAGTTGCCCCAAATGCTCTCAAGTGGGAAAATATGTACAAAAGAGAGTGTGCTTTTCGAAGCAAGTAGGGCAATTAAGAACAGACGAATCTTTCAGAAATAGGGAGGATGAGGCACATCATAGTTTGACATTTTTAGAGGGAAATATATTGCAAAAAGCGGGCTTTGGAATGGTATCCCAGTTCCCATTAGATCCCATGCACCTTGTTGATCTCGGCGTGGCAAAGAAATTGCTTCAATTCTTGCTGAAGAGAGCTGATATAACAAGAATGAATAAAAAATTTTACTTTGTTTCCACTTGGGTGCCATCAGAGTTTGGTCGGGTGTGTAGAAATTTAAATGAAATCAGCAATTGGAAATCCACAGAGTATATTTATTAAGAGTATTTAATCCTTTTACTACATTCGGGAATACGAATTTTATCATCTGAAAGATTGTATAAAACAAAAGCAAATGTGGCTCAACAACTGCTAGAAGACTTTGTTGATTTGTTTGGGAACATTTTTGGTGATCACGTTATAAGTTTTAATGTGCACGGTTTGCTGCATTTATCTCAATGCGCTAAAGATATGGACCCTTGGACAATTTCTCCGCGTACAAATTTGAAAATTAGTTGCAATATTTGAAAAGGCTTAATAAAAAACCTACAAACATTCTGCAGCAGTTATTTCTAAGACTCGACGAAAGGAAAAATGTAGAAATGCCTAAAATCACAAAATTTGGTTCCTTCGAAATAGATCCAAAAAAGGAAAAAGATTCGTTTTGTTTCAGTCCAGTAACAGGACCTTTCAAAATCGTTGAAACTTCAAGAGAATTGGGGCAGGATGTAGTATTAGGATATGCTTTTGAACAAATTAATAATTTGTTTGAGGAACCGCTTAAATCTGTATCTGCACTTGGTATATTAACGGCAGGTCAATTGAGCAATGAAAAGTTTAAAATCCGCAAATCAGATATTCAATATAAATTTTTAGTATCCCATACAATAATGAGTTTCTTTTGATCCCAATTCTACACCACTTATTTTACGAGTTTTCGAACTAATCATTTAAAACCCCCACATATACATACATATCTATTTACTTTACTCAAATAATATCGCTATACAGTTCCAATCGCCAAACTTAAAAACCTTAAAAAATCGAAAATGGACTTAAATAATAATCCCAACGGCTCACTGAAAGGTAATGCTATTGAACAAATTTAAAAACATTTTTTTAAATGATAAACAAAAAAAAATTATATTTCAGAACAAAAACGAATTTTCGTTATTGACCGAAAAAAATTGAGGACTACCACTACTTTTAATAATTCTGTACCATACCCTGGGACGCATAAAAGTAAATTTTATATAGAAGTGCTTACGTTTTAACTTACATATATTAAATTTTTTTTTATATAAATAGTTGACATAAGATCGAAAATGCTTTCTGTAGTTCCGCCCACCTCCCAACCAGGAATAATGCCATCCAATACTGTTGCCAAATCTTCAATTGGTACCGACTCCTTTAATTTATTGACAGCAAGGACCCAAGGCACAGGAAGTTTTACATCAGCCCATTTGACAGAGGCTTTTTCTACTGCTAATCATTCTGCTGTGGCGAAATACGTGAAACTTCCTTCAATTTCCACTTCCATAAAAGGTAATACCTATTTGATATAAATAAAGGAATATTCTCTAATTTTTCTTACCTTTTTCAGACAATCTTAGACAAGTTGCAGTTGATCAAGCAAGCTGTCCAGTTGAAACCGAAACTGCTTAACCGAAAACTGACAATATGACAGCTTCCAGAACTGCCAGCCATCCCACTTCATATAGAGAAGGTATTAAAAATTAAATTTCTTAGTTTTTATTATTATTTTTTTAAATGCAAATTAAGCAGTTTTTAATGATCGGCTAAGCACATCTGTGGGTTAACGTACCGGTGATTATCCATTTTAGTGAACGTAGGCACAACTGCCGTGGGAACGTCAAGAAAAGGTCCACATGGTACCTACTCGACTCGACTGGCAGTATCAAAAATCCGATGGTTGTTTTTTAGATCTCGTACACGCATGAAACTAAAACAAAAATTTATGAATTTTGAATTCTAAGCGTAAATGTCAAACTCACGCATACGGATACGCATGCTATGGAGCTCCGCCTTTATCCGCTTATATGGTGAAAAACCTTTTTTTCATATACGCACTCTACACAATTTTTTACTAAAACTCATGCATTTTAACAGATTATGATTTGTTTAATTGAGTAAAGTAATATATGTAAAGTGTTTAGCGAATTTACATGATTCAACATTCACCAGCGATTAGTTGAAACAAAAGTTTAACCCAAGTAGGCAGCTGACCAACTTCATTGAAAGCGATTAGTTGAAAGGCCATTTACACCATTCAACTGCTGCATTCAACTAAAAGTTGCCTGTAAAATCGCCTCATGTAAATTCCCTATTAAATATCAACAACATTATCAATATCTTCTTGATATATTAAAATGTAAACAAAAACACACACTCAAATGAAAATTTAGAAGACGTTTGGTATTGCCACTTTATTTAAATGAATCGGTAAAACACATTCATTATAAGGTGTCCACAACTACGATTTATTAAACACCTTCATTATAAGGTGTTCACATTATCCATTCATTAAGACCGATTTATTTTACAGCTCTTACTCAGATTATCGGTCTATGCAACACCATTTTGGAGAGACAAAGCAAGGAGGCTAAGGTCGATGATTTGCAAAAGAAGATAACCGAAAATGTAAGCAGTTTACTCATTTTCGTATAATATTATCAGCCCATAATGAAATAAACATACGGTTAATAAAATTTAAATATTAAACTAAGTTTACATTTTCAAGATTTTTTATGTATACGCTTTTGCGAAAGAGGATTTTGAAGTCCTCAATTCATATTTAAGAAGTCATTTTCGTTTTTCAAAATAAATCTTGATATTTCAGATGCCAGATCGATGCGAGGGGGTGGCTCAGCAAAAAACTCTTCGAGAATGCAAAGTGCTAATCAAAAAGGTGCATCAGTCATTCTGTCGAATAAATGGGGGCGCTGTTACTGAGCTCCAATTGGAAATTTCAGATGTTCTCCCATTAAAAACCATTGACGCATTGTTTGATGTGGAGGAGAAACTGCAAAGCAATGAATATAAAGAGGAAATGGTATGAACGAAATAGAGTTAATTACATTATTTCTATACTCTAGGTGTTCTTATAACGGACCAATAATGTGCGTGTGTTATTTGCAGATATCTTACATATTCACATTGGGCGCTGCGACTGGAAATATTGATGGGACGATAAAAAAAATGTTTTCGGACGAATTGTTAATAAATTTTAATTGGGATGGAAGGTGTGGAAAGAGAGCGTTAATGAAACTTAACGCTGTCGAGTTTAAATAGCGGCAAATCAGCTGCACTTGATAGTAG